TGAGTAGTTGGGATTACAAGCACCGGCCACCATGCCCAGCTAATTTTTCGTATTTTTAGTAAAGACAGGGTTTCACCATGTTGGCCAGGCTGATCTCGAACTCCTGAATTCAGGTGATCCACTCGCCTCAGCCTCCCAAAGTGCTGGGATTACAGGCATGAGCCACTGCACCCAGCCTTATCTGTCCATTTCATACATCAGACACCTGGGGTTCAGAGAGAAACTATAGTTAGATGCTTTGCATGTGGAAGTGCCTGGACCCTAAAACCATGCATGATCTTTCTCTATCTCTTGATGCCTGATTACACTGTAGGATACTGTTATTTGATGAAACACTAAGATAAAGTATAATAATATCCAAAGCAAAGTAAGTCCCGTTGAATACAAAATAATCACATCCTATAATAATTAAATTAAAAATTAAAAACAAAGGAATTCAGTGTGAAATTAAGTCAAATGTTGAAAATAGCATTTGCTTTGGGGAAAAAAAGTGCCACTGAGAAATGAGGCTGTGTGGTCTTGAACACACAGAGGTTGCCGTGATTGTATAACTTGGGTTCCTGTTGTTTTGGGCTGTTCCTTAATTCACCCTTGAGGGCTCTTTTCTGGCAAATCACCTGTGTCATGAGACTGATATTAAGACTCATTAACTGTCTCTCCCAAGCGGAGCGTACAAAGGTAAATCCCCCACAGCAAGGAAGCAGCAGTACTGGAATATCCTACTGCCACTTCCAGACTGGCCTACTCAAATCATCTCTCCCAAATTCTCTTTCTCTTTTTCCTCGAACATAAACAAAAAAGACTTTCTCATATTAAACATGCTACTGCCAACAATTATATGAAAAAAAATAGGCCAGGATTTGTCCAGTTTGGCCAGAAATACTATCTAGGTTTTTACAGAAAATATTTGCCAAACCCTGATCTAGACAAATTAGGTGATTTTAGATTGGATAATTCTTTTTATGTTCAATGATCATGATATAAACATAACTGATTTAGAAAGACAAATTGTTCAGTATTCACAGGTAAGGGACAAAGATAATGAACGAGCTTGTGTCTGCTACCTGTTTTTCATGGTAGATTCCCTCATTAAATGCCTTGGCTGGCATTTTTCACAACACCTCTAGTTGTTTGCTAGCAGAAAATTAATGCTGACCAACTTTCAAAGTTCCTGACTCTTATTTTTGTGTTTCAAACATAGGATCACCTGATAAATTATTCCTTGCAGCCTCTGAGTGGCAGACTAGCCGGTCTGTTTTCTCCCTCAGAATAACAGCAACAAAGATCGACTTGCTTCTTTTATTATTTACACGTGAATCCTCATCAACTACTTTATCCGACCCCTATGCTGAGAGTCCTCACACGCTCAAAACTTAAATTCAGCAGCAGACGTGTGTGAACAGGCTTCAAAGGCAGCTTCCAAATGTACTGTCCTTTTGGGATTAAAGCCCAGAAAGCCTCACGGGACATGATGGCTTTTCTTGAGAAAAGTTGGGCTGCACTGTAAGTGTGAATGATGTGCAGAGGAGTCGCTAATGGAAGATGGATGCTTGATGTTGCAGCTGAGGCTGCTGCAGCCCTCCTTAGACATCTCACAGCATTTTCCGTCTTGTGGAATGCTGCCATCAGGTCGTCCAGAAAAGTCATGAGTGGGAGTCACGGGACAGTTATTTATTTCCAACGACTTGTTCGCTTGCTAAAACACAAGCAGGAACTTCACAAACAGAATTTCCTGAGACCATGCTAGTGGATGTGCTGAAGGCAATCTAATGAGGTAGAAAGACTGGAATTTGGGATCCCAGTGACCCAGAATGAGTTTAAACTCATTCTGCCATTTCTTTGTCAACATAATAAGAGGCACTTAACTGCTCAGAGTGTCAGCAACCTCACTTGGAAGATGAGATGTTTTTCATAGGGCTGTTTGAGAATTAATGTGACAATATAGGTAACATACCTCGTTGCATACCTAGCAGGCACGCAATAAATATTATTACATTATTTCCATCCACTAGGATTCTATACGCTTTTGACGTTTTGAGACACATAATACTTATAAGAGGCCCATGGAAATACTATACTCTGAAAATGGCCAAAAAGATACACACACACACACACACACACACACACACACACACCCCTTACTTGTATGTAACATAAACATAATCTTTGCATAACTGAGTGGAGAAAGACCACCCAGTCTGGGTCTCATTTTGGTGGTTTGTGTCTCTGGCTTATATTCTTCATCTGCAAAGTGAGAGGATGGAACCAAAGCTCTCGCAGGGCCGCACGGATGACCCGTGTCTGTGGCGTTCCAATCCTGATGCTGTGAGTGTGTTGCTCACAGGTCGCAATTATCCATTCCTCTTTATTTGAATTGGTACTAAGTACAATATTGCATTTATACTTGGTCTGGAAATGTGATTCTGTACTTTAACATATGCATGAATATGAGATTTTGTAAATTTGCTTTAAGTAATATAAGAAAGTGCCACCTTCAGGCTCTCCCTCTGTCTTCTGCTCACAGCTGAATGCAACAGCCCCGGGTTTCCTGCTCTGTGAGGAACGGCTGGACCACATCTCCTGCTGGTGACAAGTGTCAGAGTAAGCTAGCCTTCTTTACTCTCCTCTCGCGCTCTTGCTCTTTCTTCCTCTGCAGTTTTTCTCATCCCTACTTCCTCATTTGGGGAAGGGAATGAAGTACTTTTGTTTAAATATCTCCACCTGATTTTTAGACGGCATGTGGAAATGAAAGCCAGAGACATGGAATAATATGAACAATACATGTTTCTGCTAAACTGTGTCAGTGTGAACCAAGAAAGATGACTGAGAGTTGATCAAATTCTTTTTCCAAATATGATTGTTATTTGCACTGTTTTTGTCTTCTTGTGCCTGATTTCCTTTATAGAACTGAAGCCGTGTCTCTGGTCTCCTGAGATTGTATGCTTCACTCTCTCCTTTTTATATCACACTGCAAGCTATTATTATGAGTACAGCAATGAACAAAATAAATCCTCTTACAGTAGGCAGATATCTCTTCCACAAGATAATGATCAGATCTCATGGGAATTTGTTTTTAAACTCACTTCATAATGTTGGCCCTCCTGTCTGAAAATGCTTCATCACGTTTAATATAATGTAATCATAAACCATGGTGGGATGCATGGAAGTTGTTTAAAAGCCATTTCCTAAGAGGGAAGGGATGGGGAAAGTTAATTATATCTAATGGCCCTTGATCTCCCATGAGAATAGTCCTTCCCACCTGATAGAAAAGAGTGGTTTGAGAAACCAGGAAATCTGATAAGTAGCTTCACTGTTTTGTAAAAGGTGAGTGCTCCACTTGTACTGGATGTCAAAGCTACTGTCTAAATGAGAAGCATTTAGAATTGCATATTCCTTAAAGAAAAAGTGACAAGCAGAAGAAGGGTTAAAGCTAACACCAAAAATTAAAGAAGAAATTTTCATTTGTTTGTTTGCCTAATGATGGCAACTAGCCTGAAGGCTTTACATATTGGCAAATATAGCAGATAATGAACTATTGATCTGGAAGTTGTTCAGGAAATGCAGAGCTTAACTAAATTGTCTATTTTCCCTTGGAAGGTACATTGATGTAGTCGGGGGTTGACAATCTATTGATCCACTCCCAAAGTTCCTCTGACCCACACTAATTAAAAAGAAAAGGAAGAAAAAAAGACCTTGAGTATACTCTCTCTGAGCCCAGTTGACATCTAAGAAATAATCCTGTAAAGACAGAAGTACTTGTGCCTCCCTAAATCTGACATCATTGTCATGCTATTCTGCCTTGTGACCCATTTTGAGTTTTATCAGTGCCACACATAAAAAATAGCAGTTAAATCTTTCACCTTGAAGCAGACACTTAACATTTTAGTCCTAAGTGAAGTACAGTGGATTTTCTCTTGCTTGTACGGGACAGGAGCACAGATAACCTCTTTGAAGATGTTTTCTTTTTCACTCATTTCTGAAACAAGGTGCAGTGGGGATTCTTGTTTCGGATGAGAGATCTACTACTTTATAATGCCCCGTCGACTGTCAGAGGTGTTGAAGCCAGAGCGACTCCATCTTGAGCGAGGGGCAGGAAAATGATGCTGGGACTTGCCGGGCCGCATTCCCAGAAAGTCAGGCATTCCTCGCCTCTAGGTGTTTATGGCTAAGGAAACAGATTAATAATGTTTATTAAACAAAACCTGACCTGGGGGTGTCCAGGTATCCCGATATTTGGAGAACAAAGGCATTCCTAATTTTGCTTTAAAGATAATGATACTGATGCTTGCAAAATACAGTAATCAAAAAAATTAATCCTTTATCACAAACCCTTGTGGCAGAGCACACCTCCCCATGTATGCAAGCATTGTACCTAGGGTGGACGTGTTCCTCCTCTTACTTTTGGAAACGCCCGACTCAGTCTATGGAGTAGCTGTACTTTCGCTACTTTCTTAATAAACTTGCTTTTACTTTGCACTGGGGACTCACCCTGAATTCTTTCGTGGGAGAGATCCAGGGACCCTCTTGTGCAGTCAGGATCGCGACCCCTTTCTGGTAACACAACCACACAGCCTTAAAATTCTAAAATGGAGCCCATCAGAATCAGGCACAATAAAAAGAGTACTGCAGTGAGCTGGGAAAGAGAAGCTCGTTATCTTCATGACTCAGATCTCATTTTAACATATGTATATGCCTAGTTAATATATATCCATTATATATCTGTATGTGCCAAGCACGGTGTCTAACACTGTGAGATGGAAAGGTGAATTGGTTTGATTACTTGGAAAGAAATAAACAAGTTAATCACATCCACACCAAAATGTAATAAGCCTTGCAACAAATATACGTACACTGTGCTGGGGGAGAAAAGATACAGGAGAATTTAAATTATTAAAGAAGTTTCCCTAAGATGTGAGTAAGCATTTGCTTGATAAATTGGGACAATGGCTAGTGCCTTGTATATTCAGGTGGGGTGTACAGACGCATGATCTGCATGACTCATTGAAAGTGCTCAAAGCAGTTGGATCTGTCTGTTGCAGAAATGCAAGTCTGGAGAGCATTAGACATGAAGTTAGAGGAACAGAGGGCGCTCAAGCCATGAAGGGACTTGCGTGCTAATGAAAGGAGTTTTTACTTTAGAAAGAAAGCCTTGGGGAGCCATTGAAGGACAGTAGGAGGTTGGCATGAACAGTCATGTACTTTAAATGTAACCCTCTGGAAGCTCTGTAGACACGTGGAGAAACAAAACCAGAGCAGGAAGAATTGCATGTTCTTGAAAGAAAAACTGATAAGAAAGCAATCAATGCAAGAAATGATTAAAGCCTGAATCGTCATCATCAATTTTAATTGAATACATATTATAAGCCAGTAGCATGCTAAGTACTTTGTGAACATTATCTCGTTTACTCTTCACAAGGAACCTATGAGTGGGTACTCTGTACTCACTTCAATGACAAAGGAACTGGGGACTCAGAGAGTTTCGATCTCTTGACTGAGATTGCACAGGTGTTGATAAAGCAGAGTTTAGATCCAGCTCAATCTGGCTTCAGAATGCAGGCATCAGGATGCATCACGCTGTAAACCAAAAGTGTCTGCGACAGATTTAGAGGTTTGTGTTGCCAAGGTTGAGGATGTGCCTGGACTGTGGAATGTGCTTTTTCCAAAGAAGGTTTTGGGAACTTCAATACTAAAGGTGGAAAGAGCAGTCAGGAGGAGAAGGAGGAAAGAAAAAAAAGTGGGGGGAGGCAGAACTTAGGCAGTGTGGTAATTACATTCTTGCGAGGCTTTGGTTAGCACTCACAGAATCTTCATTTTACGTGTGAAAAGAGAGGAGTGGTGGAAAAAGTCAAGTGTGCCTTTTTCTGGCTTGGCAAATCTACATTTCCCATGTGAAATTATAGCTGTCTGCTTGGGAACAAGAGGAAGGCAGTTTTCTTGTGTGACTTGCTTTCCCTTTGGCAGAGAGTTTGGGGCCCTGAGATTTTCTTTTTCTTTCACAGAGCTATATCCAAAGTTATTGGTAAGAGTAACTTGAAGGAAATTTTGCTATTCATCAAAGAGAATTCAGGTATAGACACAGAATGTAGGGGGAAAGATGATGAGATATTTTGTAGATGTGCTGAGTTTGAGCTACCTAAAAAAACCCTTAAACCATGGGAAAGAATGGGGTTGAAATGGTTTTGTCAAAGCCATAAAATGCTTCATAGTAAGTAAAGTACATGTGTTTGAATATGTTATTTCAGAAGACAATCATCAAGTAGTAAGGGTGACATTCTGTTTTACTTAGGACCCTACTCTTGAAGAATTATAGCACTATCAGAAATCTTTTTGCTACACACAAAGTAATACTTAAAACTAACACTTAAAACACACAGTTATTAATTGCTGTTTGTAACAACCCATGAAGTTATTCCTCCAAATTACAGATGTGAAAATACAGGCAAAAAGTGGGAATTTAATCCAAGAGTATGACAATAAATTGGCATGCCTTAACTTGCTCTTACTTTGAAATTTGCTTTAGAAGGTTTTGTTAGTAGCACATCAGCTTTTGTTCTATTTTATTTCAGAATAAAATCTTATTGAGAATTTAAAAGGAAAAAAGGAAAGGGAAGGAAGACGGTTTATAATTTAATATTGTAACTTTTTTGACTGCCACATGTGAACCAGACATCCCTGAAGGCTTTGTTCTACTGAGCAAACATGCTACACATCTCAGGACTAGACTCATCCAGATCCACTTGCTTGTAAGTTGTTCCTTTCACCTAAGAACCATCACTGAGTGCTGTGAGGGTGTAACAGCCTGATGGGTTCTTCTTCTGTGAGGGTGTAACAGTCTGACGTGTTCTCCTTCTGTGAAGGTGTAACAGCCTGACGGGTTCTCCTTCTGTGAGGGTGTAACAGCCTGACGGGTTCTCCTTCTGTGAGGGTGTAACAGCCTGACGGGTTCTTCTCTCCTGTGAGGGTGTAACAGCCTGACGGGATCTTCTTCTGTGAGGGTGTAACAGCCTGACGGGATCTTCCTCCTGTGAGGGTGTAACAGCCTGACGGGTTCTCCTTCTGTGAGGGTGTAACAGCCTGACGGGTTCTTCTTCTGTGAGGGTGTAACAGCCTGACGGATTCTTCTCTCCTGTGAGGGTGTAACAGCCTGACGGAATCTTCTTCTGTGAGGGTGTAACAGCCTGACGGGATCTTCCTCTGTGAGGGTGTAACAGCCTGACGGGTTCTTCTCTCCTGTGAGGGTGTAACAGCCTGACAGGATCTTCTTCTGTGAGGGTGTAACAGCCTGACAGGTTCTTCTCTCCTGTGAGGGTGTAACAGCCTGATGGGATCTTCGTCTGTGAGGGTGTAACAACCTGATGGGATCTTCTTCTGTGAGGGTGTAACAGCCTGACAGGATCTTCTTCTGTGAGGGTGTAATAGCCTGATGGGTTCTTCTTGCCCACTGCCCAGAAAAGCCAATTCACTGAGAACAGTAGGTTTTGCAGCACAGAAAGAGTTTGATAATCACAGGGCCAACCAAGCAGAAGGATGGGAGATAATTCTCAAATCTGCCTCCCCAATAAATTCAGAGACTAGGTGTTTTTAAGGGTAGTTTGACGGGC